CAATTGTCCGAGAACATCGATTGACAACTGATTAAAATCCTTCTTCGCTCCATAGATTGCGTAATGAAAGGAAATGTCGTAATTATTCGAAACCTCGCGTCGAGAACAGTTCATTTTAGCGCTGGAATCGCGCGTTTGATGTACCGAATTTTTCCTCGTCAACAACGATTCGGCGAATTCTCACAAGGAAGTGTGATAATTTATTCGTCTGAAGTATGCTTCTAAATTCCTCCCAGAGTAACTATGTCACGGAACTCCGGCTTTGTTGCAGCACAACGAGGTAATTAATGGAAGATTACATTTCTCGGCAAGCTTTACCCCCACGGTTTTGTTAATAACGCCATGAACGTTGTTTAGCTATGCATAATTTACCGTAAGTTGTTGGATCTTGTTCCATTTGAAGAGCCCTTAGTTCCGCTCCTTTTTCCGTTGCGCCCCGCTTAACGCCGCCGGTCGGAGTAAAAGTTCATTAAAAGAAGATCCCTCCGTTTAACGTGAGATGCAAATAAAATCGAATATCACAGACGAATAAATTTCTGATGGGATGTTTTTTTTTTTTTTTTTTTTTTTTTTTCTTATCGTCGACTACCGTTCGAAAACTTCGTTTATCTTGATTTCACGGTTTATGGCGGAAACAGGCGTTATTTATCGAGAAGTATTTAGCGAGTTGGAAGCGACACATGCATCAATTAGGCTCTCTGTATTAACCGTGATAAATGGCATTTCCTATAATAAATTACTCGCAATTTTTTTTACGTAACATCGAGTGCTAATCAACGCTTCAATTATTCCACGTTTGTGTTTGTTTGTGTTTGTGAAGGATAATAAAAATTCATCCAAGAAAATTCCACAATTTGCAGCGAATTTTCTTTTCATCCGCTGCCAATTCTCGGTGATGCTTACATAAAAGTTGTTGCATTGGTAGTAATTTTGCTTGTGGGTACATCATACGAGAAACATTAGGCACACGACAAATTGCTACTCTCCGGGGAAATAAATCATAGATTAGTTTTGTTCGAGCGAGTTTAAAAGGAAGTTGTTCCAGTGATAGTTGAAACTAGCAGACAGCAATATATTATACACGACGTCATAATTAAATACAACACGGTCAACAATAACTATTTTAAGTAGAATTTGTAATTAATGCAATCTTAGTAGGAAATGTTCGGACTATCTGGAATACGTGAACTGCTTTAAGTTGACCAATGCTAGATAAAAAGTAGAAAATGTCTTGGATAAGTGTGTAGAATGGTGAAACAAAAGAGGAAGAGTTTGAAGAAAAACGGATTAGACGAGACGAGAGAATCTCTTTGGTCTGGGAATGTGATTGAAAAACTTAGCAAAGTGTCATAACTGGAATTGGTACTTGGCTGTGTCCGAGTGATTATGGATGCGCGGAAAAAACTATGGAATATTTCTAATTACATACTTTTACGATGCCATTTTTCTTATCTGGGATCGTTATTATTAAGATGTTTTTCTATATCCTAGAAAATTTTCATTCTTCAGTTCATTCTTCAGACCAGAATAACAACTTCTGTAGTGCAGTTCTTCTTATATTTTCCCACGATAGTACCTTAGAAAATCGTTGATTTCTTTAAATTACAGGAAATTTTAAATTTTTGAACGTTGATCAGAATAAAAATTTTAAAAAATAATGGATGGAATACTCTGTGGTGCCATTCTTCTTACCTCATTTATTACATTTTCCTACGATAGTATCTTAGAAAATCATTGATTTTTTTTAAATTATAGGAAATTTAAAATTTTTGAAAGTTGACCAGAATAAAAATTTCAAATAATAATGGATGGAATACTCTGTGGTGCCATTCTTCTTACCTCATTTATTACATTTTCCTACGATAGTATCTTAGAAAATCATTGATTTTTTTTAAATTATAGGAAATTTAAAATTTTTGAAAGTTGACCAGAATAAAAATTTCAAATAATAATGGATGGAATACTCTGTGGTGCCACTCTTCTTACCTCATTTACCACATTTTCCTACGACAGTGCCGTAAAATATCGTCTATTTTTCTACACCGTTGGAAGTTATCAATTTTGAATAGTTGACGAGAATAAAAATGCATACAATCTCCGGTGTTGGAATTCCCGAAGGTGTGTTTACGATTCAAATCACGTATCAGAGCGCGTATCAAATCCATCGAAATTCACGGTGACAAGAGTAGAGCGTCGAATAATAAATAATAATTTCCGTAATTCGTGCACGTCCTCGTTAAACAATGTTTAGCTTCAATTATGTGTGTTTCATGGTCGAAATTAGAGAAGCGTAATAATCGGGAACGTGGACAGCATATTCAAGGAAGAAATTAATTATAAAATTAGCGATTCCCAAGGTAGATTAGGCAGAAAATGAACACCTTTCCGTTATTTATGAATTTCTCCTTCTTCTTTATTGTCGGATACCTTCGTGTCGGCAAAAAAAAAAAAAAAAAAAAAAAAAAAAAAAAAAAAAACCAAAATACCGTGTTTGCCGTACGGAGCAGAAATTCGAAAGAGACTGTTATCGATGGTAATTATACGGAAAAGGACGGGTAAAAAAAAAGTATTATCGCTGATAAAAGCTCGGAATATTTAACCGACTGTTGCTTGCCGCGTAAAACGCTTCGCGTGTTTCCGAAATATATGGGGACAAATTTTTCACTAAACGCTCCGATGTAGCGGAAAACAACTTTTGATTTTCTATCGGGCGAATGCTACGAGCAATGTATAATTTAGGATATGTGAACAAAAATGTGTTTCACTTTTTACGAACACTTTTATACGTTCTCCTATTTTTTTTTTTTTTTTTTTTATAAAATCGAACGAATAAATAGCAGTTTCGATTGATTTTATTCGCAGAAAGTTTAAAAACGTATTTATTCCTAGGAATTCAGATAAATTGAAAGAAGAAACGTTAATGTTTCACTTTTTGGACAGATTTGAAAATGTTACTCGAGGTGTCGTGAATAAATAATTTTATTTGGCAGAAATATATACAGCAGCATTGAAATTAGAAATCGATTAAAATTGAAGGTACCTTCGTTCGACTGTTTTAACAGTTTTAAAGAAAGTTGCTCAAGGTGTCGTGAATAAATAATTTTATCGAGCGGAAATGTGTACCGTAGCGTTGAAATTACGAATCGATGAAAATTAGAGGTTTCGACAGTTTCGAAAAAAGTTACTCAAGCAGTGGTAGGTAAATAAATTTTATCGAGCAGAGATGTATACCGTAGAATTAAAATGACAAATGAATTAAAGGTGCTTCGATTCGATTCGTATCGAGAACACATTCACGATTGTCTCTGCCGCTCTCCGTGGTCGAAGTCTTGAAATTCTCTCTCGTGTAGTGAGTACTTAGGCAAAAGCTACGTCTTCTTCCTTTGCTCGCGATAAATAAATAAAACTGGAAACGCTCCTCCACCGTTCTCGTTGCAACGTGTTTTCTCGCTCGTTGCCACACCCGGAGATAAATTGAATTATTCATGGAAATGGAAAAGATATTTCAGTAAATGCACAGTGAGGTACATAAAATGCAACACGTCCAAGTATGATCGCTTTTGAATAGGAATTTATTTAAACAGACCCGACCCGTTGTGTATCGAACAGTTCTCCTTTTCTTACGTTCACCCGAAGAAGAGCGCTCGTTCCTTCGGTGAAATTATGAATGAAAAGTGTTGGAAATTACCTGAAACTCCTGGCGAATACCTTGTACGAGTCCTCGTTAAACGGAACCGAAGAGTTTATTCCACGTTCGATCGTTCGAACGCCGAGAAATTTCATCTGCCAGTGGAATATTTCGCTGATTAACTTTTACCCTCATAGGCGTTCCTTCTGTCCGTAACGAAGCGTTAAGTAATTGGAAAGATAGTAATTGCTACTTCTCGACAGATAAGAGAAAAGAAAAATCGTATAGGAGCACTGATATTACGAGGAGAGGTCAAGGAAAAATTTTCTCCTCTCTCTCCTACATTCTGAACTCCTTAATAAATATCCAGTAGCGCATCTCAAAAGGTCTGTTCTCAAAGAGAGAGCCACCATCGCCGATCGTCTAGATCAATGGATACGTGATTCTTATAGCACGAATTTAGGTTTCCATGAATCGACGGATAGATTCGTTCCCATTAAGAATTCGCGATGTCGGACTTCCTGGCGAATCACTTCCAAAACTCCCTAATCACGAAACATTCTCCTCGTTGATTACGCCTAAAATCCGATAGCCTCGATAAAACGAAAAAAAGAAATTCCAAGAAAACCCGTAATGAAAGCAGTAATCTCCGAGAAATACGAAGACGTGTTATTCCGTTTAAATAAAAATTCCCACAAATCATTGAATCATCGTCTGAACTTCGCCGTTCCCATTACAAAACCTTCAATTCATTCAGTCAGATTCGATCGATGAATCGACCTCTGTATCTTATCAAACCCAACCAGACAGGCTCCCTAATGTCAATATCGACGCAGAAAACTACCTATCTACCTTCGAACTGTCCCTCATAGAGACGTCAAGGAAAGAAAACACGATAATTCGCTGTTATCACCGGCGACACTCACTCGAGAAAGGGTTGAGGGGAGAGTGAAAGCTCGAAGTCAGTCCTAGTTAGCATTATTTCTCGGCCATCGTGAGCCGAAAGACTGAAACGAGCTCGTAAATAATCCCCGCGGGGAATAATCGCGCGTCGTCTATTACGAATCCGCGACACGTGCTGTCGAAGAGAAACAAAGAGTGCGAGAGAGAGAGAGAGAAGAGGGAATCGCCGCAAAAGGCCTTTCGCCTTGGTCGGAAAATAAACGGTCGTGAGTGTTGGTCGTCGCTGGTGTTAATCGACAGCCAATCAGACCGGGGGAGTGTTCCGGTGTCAGACCAATGAACAGCGAGCCGTTATCAAGCGGTAGTCTCATATAACTGATCGCGATTCTTGTGCATCGTGCACAGAGGAAACAAGTAGTTTCGCAGACGCTACACGTTCGTTCTTTTTTTTTTTTCTCCTTCATTTTTTTCTCGACGAGCCACTTGTAGCTCACGATCGGGCGACACGGCGTTGTTGGTACCTCTTTTATGTGTCTTGCGGCCTCCTTGAGTGATCCGTGGTTGAGAGAGGAGCGCCTTTTAGAGTCACGGTGGTGTGCCTGCTGGTAGCTGGCTGGCTGGCTGGTATAAACGCAGCGAGACAGCGAACTGTCAGCGGAAGGCCAAACGCGATCGTGTAGCCGTTCGTAAGTGGCGCGCGGACTCGTATCAGTCGGTCGGCTGATCGTCGAACGATCCAGGCCGTGTTGTTTGCCGCTGCCGTGAGTGGCCGCTAAACGCGCCGCTAAACCGACCCGGCCGAAGTTCACCGAGGTCTGACGAGGTTCATCGGCGTTTAAACCCCCGTGTAGGACTTGTGTCAGCCCCCTTCCAGGAAACCACCATGCCAGATGGACTTTTCATCGTTCTCTGGATCGCGATCGCCTTGACCGATGCCGCTACGATCGGGCATGCCAGCGTCAAGGCCACGGACTGCGATAGGTGAGTGAAAGGGAAACCCGGCGAAGGTGCAAGGTGCCGCTCGAATCGTTCCTTCCGCGCTGAAAAACCAGCTTCCCGCGGCGTCGCGCCGCTTCTCGAGTGCTGAGCCGCGCCGCTTCTTGAGTGCTGAGCCGCGCCGCGCCGCGTCTCCTATAATACGCTCTTGGCCCAGAAACTCTCTTTTCTCTCCCTCTTTTCCTTCCATTCTCCACACTTTTCACTCGCGTTCTTCCTCCCTTTATTTTCCCCATTTTCGTTCTTTCTTTCTTTCTTTCTTCCTCTTTCTTCTCGCTACTTGTGCGCGCTGTCATCTCGCGAAAAGGGGAATTTTTCAAGTGGGTCGCGTATTCTCTTCTTCAAACGACGTGTTCGTTTCCCGAGGGATTTTGTGATAGTTCTTCCGTCGAGTAGTACGTGGTTTTTCTTCTTTTTTTTTTTTTTTTGATTGGTTGCTAGATTGTTTTATGTTTTTATGGATTTGAGGGTTAAAGTAGTTTCTGGTCGTTTCTGTAGCCTGGGTCGAATGTGTTTAGACACTTTTGTTATTAGAGCCTGCTGTGAGAATCGTTTCTTTGGGATGTTTCTGTTGTTCCTGGTGCCTTGTCGAGTTGAAAGGAATTTTTAGGAGGAAAATGAAAGATCCACGGAGTACATTTTGTGTTTCTTTCTGAGAACGACAGCAGTTTGTTGTTATTAACTCGCTGCTAACACACGTCGGTTTGTCTTCAGTTTTCCTGTTGACAGTTTGAAAGTTAGAAAGTTCCGCTGGAAATGTGCCAAAAAAAAAGTGATCATCGGTTAATTCTCTCTCCAAATAAACAAGATAAAAGTCACGAAGAAATTGCTGCGATTGTCGGTCATTAGTGCAAAAACTGACGCGATAATGTGTCGACAAAATGAATAAAAAATGATACAAAAATTCACATGTTTCTTCTATTCGAAGAAGAAACATTTCCTTGAAACTTTCTTAGAACATGTCTTTCTTAAATCATTGATACTTTGCTCTTGCTCGCAGTCGAAAAAATGTTTGTTTGTTCACTCGAAGTTTCGTTGATTAGGTTAGGTGACTGCAGCAGGTCATCACTATCCCACGCGGCACTCAACGCGTTAAATCAGAAGCTACGCGCTATACATACAACACTGGAGTGCTTATGGAAACTGTCTACCGTTCGAATTTACGAATCGAACACACGAAAGCTGCGTTAAACTGTAAACTCACGTTTTAGAAAAAGCGACCACATCTCGAAATCAGATTTACGTGAAACTATTATGCAAGGTGTCTCGCGCGTATCGATTAATATTCATGAATGAAACTGACTCTGTTACCGATACCACTATCGATTCTGTTTCGTCTCCGCGTTAACAGAACTGTAAATTATTAAACGTGAAACAGAAAGTTTCAGTCGAGCCATAAATTTAGAGCTCCCCCTTTCATTTCGCTCGAATCAAGTCGATACCGCGTTCTCAACAAAGAGAAACGAGGAGTCAATGTCTCGTGAATGCAAAAATAATAAGAGCGGATTTAACACCGTAATGTGTTCCTTTCACCTCGCTTACCGATAGTATTTCGGCTGGAGAATGTTTCAAAAATCGTGTCACGTGACAGGAACTTGTAGATTATTCGTTAATTAGATGTAAACTGATTGCGAGTGTTTCTTTACCGAATTGTGAAGCTATAATACAGCGTTGGCGCTTCGGTGACGACGCAAATTTCTTTTTCTAGCTTTTCAAGCGCATAAAAATTGTTGATAAAGATAACGCTAACGTCGCAACAATTTCATTTTGCAGTAAAGCGAATTATCGGCGACATTTGCCGCACGGAAATCTCCCAACTTGTAGATAAACTCGGCCAGTTCTTGAATGCTGGTTTCGCACGAGTCTAGCTGGCGATAAAAATGAAAAGAATTCTGATATCGTCCGGGATATACTGCGTTCTATATTGATGCAGGAAGTACTCGTACATGAACGCGATTCGATTGCTGTAAAAACACACAGTTCCTCCGAATTTGAAATATTCACGCGGTGTTTCTTTTTCTCTTCTTCTTCTTCTTTCACGCGATAAAGCACCAAATGTAAATTTCGCTTCTACATAAACTTGTATCTCGCGATTGATTCGAGGTTTCTGGGAATTAAGTGAGTTTATCGCGTCGAAGTTTGCTTGGATGTATCTTCAACGTACGAAGAACTTCGTGGAAATTTCCGAAAAAATTAAGAAAAGAATTGAAATTCTGAAAAATTGAAGAAATCTAATTTCTGCTTCCAAATACTCTTTTCTTTCTTTTGCGAGGTGAAATAATTTACGAGATTCGAATTTTCTGGGAAGGAAGTGAATTTATCGTTAACGAAGTTCCTTCAAAAAGTGTCTCAAAATATTCAAATTAGAGCCAGAAAATATTGAAACAATTAAACTGTGGAAAGATTAGAAAGATCTCGTTTCTGCATTCGAATACACTCTAATCGAGTGGATCGTAAGATAAAAGTGCCGCTGAAGAAATAGACGGTGTCGTTTCGAAAATAATCTCGTTTAATCCAACTTTGACAATTAGAATGGTAGTTTGATGAAAATAGAACGCGTTCTCTGTTACACAATGAATACCTTCTTCCGGAATCGTTCGTCATTCCTGGCCAATTAGTTGGAATTTACGAAAGAATTTGACAAAAGTTCAGTTCTCTGCCGAGAGATTATTTACCACTTATTTACTCCATGCAGTTTCTCCGCAAGGTTGAAATCTGTTCTATGACTCGCGCGTTCGTTACGAACGGTGCTTAGTTATTCCTTTTATGCAATCGTTTCACGCATCCACATGTGTATCATTATACTCGACTTTTTTCCTTTTTTTTTTTTTTTTGCCAGCATAAAACGGAACAAGAGTCGGTGTGCAAAGACAGAAAAAAGACTAAGTGAGACGGAACTGGCACGAGAGTGTAATGTAACGAGATCGACGAGATTACAGTAACTCACGTGTAAATAAATAGTTTCTACCGACTTAGTGATTTGTGAGAAATAGCAGCTACCTATGAATCGTCGAATTTCTGCCTTGCTGTGATGTAACATATGAAATGCAATTTTTATGGAGCTCCTTGGAAACGTGTCTAGTATTTAGAAATTACTTTTTGATTTACCTGAAATTTTAGAATATTGAAAGTAATTTTTTTTTTGAAAAGTGTTTTCGTTCTCTTTGTACTTTATCTTCGAATATCATACTTTACGGATAAATTGCTCTCGAAATACTTCCTGCAATCCACAGAAACAATTTTATTTATTCAACTGACGTGAGTTTTTATACAAGTGAAAATGACAAATCTTTTTATCCACGCACTGAATATTTCAGCAATCTCAGATAAAATATCAAACGAGTATAACAATCTGTCAGATAAAACGTTCACGATTAAATCAAATATAATAATGGAAATTACGAGTTGACACGATAATCACGATTGATCAAAAATTGATTAAGAAGAAAGAAGATAGTACCTTTTTCAATTAACATTGCACACTTCGTGTCGTTCTTGAACACTTGAAAAACACGGTCGATATTTTAAAAGCTTTTTGAAAAAGCTGCGTTCGTGGGTGTTTACATTATTCATAAATTGCACAAAAACACATGTCGTCCCTGGTAAAATGTGTATTCCAACGCTCATGACTGACGTTCCATTATAACCGTAACAATTTTTTCTACTGGCGTGCGGAATTTTGCAACGAAAATCGTTGCATTTCGTGCTTGACACACGCGACACCTGGAATAACAATGCTTCTCTCCTCTTCACGCTTGAAGAGCGCGTGCAAATTTCCCGCCGATTATCTTGCAATTCGACGAAAGAAAATTCCGACGATAAACGGATGAAGTAAGCAGAGTTGCGTAATTATTTCCATCGTGTCGGAAGCGTGCATTGTTGACACTCGCTTTTGTTAATAACTAAATCGATGGATTGATCAGCGTGGACAGCTGGTTTTCCCGTAAACGCGTACCCAGCACGTGTATTTAGCCAGCCATTCATGTTTGCATACGAGACTTCGTTGACAAACGGCGCTGATATACGAGGTGCTGGCTCATTGAACGTTATCAATCACTAACGTGGTATAAGTGATTATCGTGAACGGCGTTTTATCAAAGAAACCGTAAAAATTGGACAGCGACGCGCTGCAAAGCTTCTCTCCGGTAAACAGTTATAAATACTGCGTAGATGAACGAGTGTACCGTATCCTTCTGCATAATCTTCCTTTCCTTTTTGCCACAATAATAATTGAGGACGACAGTTTGCCACGAGGTATGCGAAACGGAAGTCGTCAGACCGTAATGAATACAGTTTCTCCCGATGATGAATTCAAATGCAACGCGCCGTGACGCAACGCTCTGTTCCTTTGTCGAATCCAGACAGGCTGTTGTGATTTCAATCTTGCGCGATGAATTTTGGGTATCAGCGACGTTCTACTGCTCTTCGTTTCTTAATTGGATCAGGTTGTATTACACTTTTCTGTCGTTTTTAGGTGAAACGATAGGTGTCGAAGTTTCATCAAAGACACTGTTCTAAATAATTATACAAATGTCACAAATTCAACTTTAAATTGAATTTTAATGTTACGAAGATATAGTATTTCATTTGAAATATTTAAAAAATTGAATTCATAGAATATTGTAGAAATATTAAAAATCGTATTTAATTCAATGGATCAGGATATGATTCATTCAACACGCCTCGGCCATGAGTGATCACTGAAAAAAGCATCAACGATCACACATAAAACAGCATCGTACTTGAAGCACGTCAAACGGTAAAATCTTTTTCATTCGTTGCATAACTAATCAAGTGAAAACAAAGCGGTAAGACGTCGCACATGGTCCAATTTAGATTCTAAGCTATAGAAATATCCTCGTTACTCCTCTGATCTTCTTTCGCCGCAATTTTGTTCCCCGGGAGAATTAGAACACCCTAAGCCTCGCGATTTCCCGCCAATTATCGACGATATCCGATAATGTTCCGCATATTCCGTCTTATTT